GTGTGCTGCTGCCCTCAACCGACCTGATCGTCCCAATCCGGTTGTCCTCACTAAGAAGAGATCCACAATCTCTTATCTAATGAATATGAAATTGCTATATAATATTCCTTTGCCTAGCTGCCCATTGCTAGAACTTCCAGCGCTAAGGTGGTTGGTGTGGTAAGGCAAGCAACTCCTCTTTCCGAAGAAGAGTGCCTGCCCGAGCTATCTTAAAGTAAAGCTCTCTAGGTTAGCTATAGGTAAAGTTCTCCCAGAGCCGGAGACACAGGCCGCTACTCCTTCAGAAACCGGGAATCCGCAAGGAAGGATAGGACACAGAATAAAGACCTAAAGTTGTTCGTCGGATGAAACCGAGAACCGAAAGATGTCTATCAAAGAGCGAGAGGGACTGACTAGACGGCTGTCAACCAGCTCTGAAGGTTGCAAAGCCTTTAGAGTGCCCCTGAACGGAAGGAAGGAAATATATTTAGAAATCTTTCCTAGCTACCGGGGAAGGGTAGAGGAGAACATAAGTAACCATCAAACTATAGAACCTCACCTCAAACAAAGGCCCTCGGAAGAGCCTGAAGTAGAGAAACCTACAAATAAATAAAAGAATACCTGTCAAAAGCTTCACCTCGGTAAACCTTTGGAATAAAGATCGTCGAGCCGCCGACAACTCCCAGGGTTCACTAAAACAGGGGATACTCCGCGAAAGACTATTGAGTGACCTGTCGAGCTGATCCGACACCAAGTGGGCCGCACCTCTGAGGACTCAATATGAAACAGAAAGGTGTTCCTTTAAGCCCTAAAGTCGTCCGCTTTCTCACCGGTCGCAGAAAGTCTTTTAAGAAAAAGGCTTCCCTAAATTTTCGTGGCATCCGGATCGGGATACCCCGGCACGACGAAGACTGGCCCCTTTGTTTCGGGGTACCGCCGTTGTCACGGAGCATGGGAAGGACGCGCGGCGATTACCCCGAAAACCTTCGCTTGCTTGGAGGCATCTGGAGGCTCACGCAGCACAACCGGCGAGCAGAGCCAAGCCCAACCATTACAGTCAGGAGACGCGTGGGCGTGACGTCCTGGAAGCGGACGTGTAAAGCATATCGCTTTTCGCATATCACTTATCCCGGTCACCCCTTCCATCCAGAGAAGGTAAGTTCAAAGCCTAATTATTTCCTTTTCTACTTATTCACATCCTCACTCGAATAAGACAAAAGCCTTCGAACTTACAGCCACTACCCCAAACATCTTTCTATGACACCCTGCCCGACATCGTCACGAGTAAGCCCCCTTTCTTTTTTTTATGTTTTTCAATCGCCTTTGTTTATTGTGAATCCGTTCGACATATATGCCTTCACTCGGGCCTCAAAAAAGCAGAGAAATGTTGAAGTGACGTCCAAGCCCGTGGTCGCAATGCCGCCTCCACGCAAGCCCTCGGTCACCGAGCCGACCTCGTCCGCTCGGAAGGACACAACCTTGGCCAGCCTTCCGAGTTCTACCCCCGCTACCACAAATATCACAGCCCATACACCGCTCGAGGGTACCTCCGCTCCCCAACTGAGCAAAATGGAGCAAATTCGGTTGAGGCCCGGGAGATGAGGGAAAGGAGAGAGAAGAAAAGGGAAGGTTCTGCTGAGACTCAAGTCCCCCTGCCGGAGCTCCCCGAACCTGAAGTGGAAGTCGAGGGGCTGCTCAGTGAGAAGAAGCGTCAAATGATTTGGACAGTTGTCGCGCTGGCGGAGCAGGGAGCCTACAGGGAAGGTTGGGGCAATGAGGAGCTAGACGAGTATCTGCAGAACCTCTACCCCATCGACTACATCTATCGCTGAACCAACTGAACATCCACTTGAAACGGCATAATCATCAGAACCGACTGCAGCTTCATTGACTGAATGAACTGGTGCCTATACCTTTCTAGGCTCCTGGTGCTGGCTGTAGCCGTGGGAGGTGGGGGCTCTACCAAAAAGCATGCAACGACACAATCAACAGGTGAGCCCTTACCCGCACTCCGAGCAGGTGGGTATCGACAGACACAACGACTTAATCAACCGGATCCACCGAAGCTATTTCCTCTAGACAGAATGAGGCTCCCGTTGAGAGATCTATTAGTGATTGGGCCACCCCTCCTGGCAAAGAAAGAAAGGCAGGTTCAGGCGATTGATCAAAAAAAGATTTCCTTCCCTTTCTTTATGACAGAGCAATTGAATGAAGCGGTGCGGGGCCTATAAGATTATGAATAAGCTATTTATTCTCCGTCCTTTTGAATAAAAAAACCTTCGGAATGATGGTAGTAGAGTAGTCGATCTGATCTCGCGCGCGGGCGGATAGAAATGCCTATAGATGAGGTAGGCGAGGGTAGCTTGCCGGCAAAAGGCGTGTATGGTAGTCTTTTGTTTGATGATAACGGGAAGGGCAATTGACTGCAACCTTTTTCGGCCTATTGGCTATTGGGTGGGGGCAACTGGAGGAAGACAGCACGGGGCAAAGCAAAGGGCAGAGCTTCAAGTGACTTGTTAGGGCTGTCGAAGAGCAAAGAAAAAAGTCACTCGAAGCTCCTCTCCTTAGAGTCAAGTGGCTTTCAGCTCCTCTGGCGCGCCCTAGCCGAGCGGTCCTCGCCTGCACAAGCAAGCAGATTAGCTCCCTCATTCTCTTATTGTGCCGGCAGGCCTGGGCGAACGAGGTAGGGTTAGATTAGATGGAGGAGGACTGCGAACGTCCGTCCCATGAAGCGCCAGGGAACCATGCATTCCTCCCGGGCTGGGCTCTCGCGTGTCCGGGATCCGATCAGATCTACCAGCGACCGGTTTACGGAACAAGGAGTTAAGCAAGGGCCAGGAGATTGATAAAAGAACCTGGCCGAAGTCAGTCTTGTGTTCAATTCCGCGGTTGGAAGGATTTCTTTCTGCCATCTGTCTTTCCCTTCTCTCTCTTCTCTTAGCAAAGGTAGGTTCAAGTCAAACTTTTTTTTGGCTTGCGGGCTCGGGGACTGCAGTCAGCTGCTTCCCTTGTAGTCGTCAGCTCGTTCTTGACAGATCCGATCGGGTGTTCATAATCTGGAGTAAAAGGATTCGAACCTTTGCATGCCGGTACCAAAAACCGATGCCTTACCACTTGGCTATACTCCATAGGCCTGTTTTGGACGGTAGGAACGGGGAGAGGGGGAAGGGAGAAGCAGGGCTCGAAGAACGAGCCGTGCAAGGACGCGGGGATATAGCAAGTAAGCAGCAAGGTTCTCCCCTTAGGACCGACTACAACAAGCTCGCGACTCTAATAGAAAGAAAGGGTAAGCTCTCTGCTCTATTTGCTTGCAATGCTATGCCTATCAAAGTTGGCGAAGGCTTCTGTAACCTTAGACTCGTTACGCTCTTCGACGGAACTCGTTGGCTCCGCGTCCACCGAAAGTCGGTAACCTTCGTCACCGTCAGCATTTGGTACTCTCTCGATAGCTTCAATAGTTCACTGAAAGCCTTTGGTGTAATAAACCGCAAGCCCTTCAGAAAGAAAGACATAATATAATAATGAATTAATTAATAAAAAAAAAAAAAAAAAGGGTTGGTTAAGAACTATTGACTGTAAACCATAGCAGTTACAGTCACTCAATGGAGATGTTCGCCTTTGTTTGGAATGAAGATGGATGAACAGGCACTTGAGCCTGGAACTGATGAAATTCGGGGAAAACATGGAAGCGGTCACTATACTGGGGGGGCAAGACATGACCGCGACTTAAGAAAAAAGTACCCTTGAAAAGACTAAAGGAACGGGGGAATGACTACCTGTAATAAAGCACAGGCTAATACGAGCCGACCAGAAGAAGCAAGGCTTAGATTACCAGATCCTGGACACAATCTTCCTAGAGATGGAGAGCCCCTTGCCTCGCCTTTTTGCACCTATCCTTCTTGCTTGCTTACCTATAGCTCTCTTGTCTTAGTGACTCTTCCTCTTTTCTAGGTTTTTTTTCTGAGTGTTAAAACGATAGATTTTGCTTTTGCCAATGAATTGGATCCGCCCCGATTCGATCAATAATGGGATTCTTGGCTAGAGAAAGGTTCTGTGACATGGACGCCCAGCCCAACTCGGTCGGTCGGTTGGCCCACCTAACAGATGATGAGATTCTCGATCGATTTGATCGAATTTCAAAAAGTCTTTCTCACTATTCAGAACAGTGGAGCTTTCGATCAAGATCTTCTCGCCTCACCCGTTTGGGCTCTCGCTCGAATCGGAACCTTTATGCGTTGGTAGGCTTTCGACTCAATCTAATAGCCTACCTATCGGGCGCCAATAAAAGAGAAAGTTTTCGCATGGGCTCATCATCTGATGCAGAACCGATGCGAGAGGGAGAAGCGGGGATTGATAGCTTTCAAGAACCAGTGGAAAGGAAAGACTTCTTCCCTGCATTCCTTCCTTTCCAAAAAAAGAAAATTAGTTTGGGCTGGCATAGGCATAAAAGATTTGATTGAATGAATGCCACCTTGGTAGTTTTCAAACAAATCCAATGTTGGGCCAAGCCTTGCCAGCCGGTAATAGCCGAAGGCAAAAAAGGGGGAGATAGGGAAGAGGAGATTAAGGATAGTCACTCCACTCCATAGATAGTGCACACAGATTCTTCTTTCATTTTCCATTCCTTTCGGGTCGGAAACGCGGGCTGCTAGTGGGGCTGTGCCCATTCTCCCTCTTCTTCCGCTTTACAACCGGAATAAGGAACCTTAGAATTCACCCTACCTGTCGATGAAAAAATGGGATTTGAGAGGAGCTGAAAGCCACTTGACTCTAAGGAGAGGACCACCAGCTAGCGGATCAGAAAGATTTGTATGGAATGTCCTACTCCTGCCTGAGCTTTCCGATCAACCAATCCCCTATTTCAGGGACATCTGTGTTAGGTAGGCCCAGGGATCACTGATTAGTCGAATGAGCCCATCTCTCTGGCCTATCATTTGTTGGTCGATCCGGCTGGCGGCTCCTGCATCTCCTGCCTCTCTATGGGGGCCCCTTTTTTTAGACTAGTTTGCTGCTAGGAGTCCCTAGAGTCGAATTAATAATCAATAGAAGTCCCAATAGAAGTTTACTGACCTGGCTCTTCAATCGACGATCTACTGCTCCCTCTTAATAGCAGATGCCCATGCTTTGATTCGAAAGCCCTAGCCAGTGATGAATCCCCAGGTATTCAGTGTCTGGTTCGATAGGACCAGGAAGAGAGGACTCTTTTTTTCCTCCTCCCTTCAGTCCAGTTTGAACCCGTCCCAACAACGAACACCTTCCTACTGCAAGGTGAGGCTCTGCCCTTCCCCTAGAATCCACTCCGGGTCGGAGGAGCAACTAGTCAAACTTCTTGAGCAGCCGAGATATTGAACAACGAACATTTGAAACAATTCCTTGCCTCACCCTGAGATGAGAGGGAAGGTCGATTTGACTCGAATCCTGGACCTGATCTTGAATCCTACACCGGTTAATGATGCGATGGGGGAAGTTTTTCTTTTTTCATCAATGCTGGCCCAGTCGAGGCTCGTCCATGCCCAATCCCGATGGGCCTTCGATTTGCCCCTACCCTAGCTCTATAATCCACCCGTCTTCCCCAGTCCCTGAAAGCCCTCCGGGGGCCTAGCCCTCTTTCTCCACTCGAGTCTGAAGTTCAGCAGCTTTCATCGTTGACGAACACCTGCGCTAATAAGACAAAGAAATGGAGAGTCTATGCCTTGAATGAATCAGTAACAACGGATTAGTGGAATGAGGGATCAAGAGACGGATAGGGAGGGAATGGCCTATCAATCATTGGTTGACCTTCCCTTGAACCAGTCACGGAGCTCTCAACTGAGTTGTTTAGGTTCTGGAATTCCATCTCTAGTTGGGGGTTTCGATTCGAAAAATGTGGTGCGGGTTCATCTCTCTCGACCAGTTCAGGTTCAAGGGAGGGTGATCGAGGGGACCCATACTTTCGATCTCTTCTCTATGGCGGGAGCTTTCGTATCAAGAGTGTGTTGGGGAGGCCAGGGAAGATGGATTGGATCGAGAGGCGATGCTTATGCCTCTTCTTTATCGATAGGATTCCCATCATTTTCAGTCTACGGCGAAGGAGACAAGGGCGAGGCACCGAACATGTTCTACCCTCAACCTCCATCCGTCATTAGTAATCTCAATTCGCTTTTCCTATTCACTAGTACACTGCGCGCTACAACTAGCAGCCCCTTTACTAGGTTGGGAAAAGGCTAGCGCGCTAGCGCGCAACGGCTGATGAAAAGCCAGCAACTTGTTAGGAGTCAGTTTTGGCTTGCCCCTTTCCTCTTATTAGTCAGATAGGTTTTCCACCCTATACAAGGGGCTGCTTGCTGCTCGCCCCTATCTCTAAAGTGGCTTATGCACGGAACTTGTTACCACTAAACGACGAAGCCAGGAGCGGAAGGAGGGACTTGAACCCTCAACCTCAGCCTTGGCAAGGCTATGCTCTACCATTAAGCTATTTCCGCCAGCTAGGGTAGTGGCGAAGCACTACTGAGCAATTCACGTATCACTTGATACGGACGACTTCTGTTTTTCCGCCGGACCACAGTCTTGACCTCCGATCGAGCTACGAACACGAGTAGATAGGCGGTTAGGGGGGGAGAGGGCCGGCTGGGCCTGCCTTTTCAATCAATCTCCGGCCGCTCAGTGCCGCTATTGGTACGAGTTGTAAGGAGTCTTGGTCTCGAGTCAAGCTGGGGCGTCATTTCATTCTCGTAACGGGAATGAGTGCACCGCAAGACCAGACAAGTTGCTCCCTCGCCTCGCAGCGGCGGCATCTGTCTTTTAAGTCATTTCCTAAGACGGCTCCTCTTATTCTACGATAATCCAAGCTGCAGCGGCACCTCACGAACTTCTTACTGGGGCAGTACTATAATAGGCATTTGCGAGTGTTTGGATGCACGTGTTTTGTTCATATTCCTGCGCAGTTAAGAGCAAAATTGTCCCCAAGGCGACCACTTGTGTCTTTCTTGGATATGCTCAGTCCGGGTATATATATGCTATGACGTGAAATCCAAGAGAGTCGATGTATCCTTAATGCTCTCTTTAATAGGGTCGCCTCATATTTTCCTTAACCTAATTAATCAGCCCCGGGGGAGAATGATGATGGAGATGTATTGCGGCCTTCTCCTGTTCATCAACTCGAACCTCATTCTTCTGCAGTTGATGTTACGGATTAGCCTCACTCTTCAGGCCAGCAGCTTTGCTCAGCATTTTCTGCCGATTGTCAGCCTGTTCAGCTGACCTCAGAGGATTCCTGTCACCCGGCACAGCATGTTTATTCTCGGCGGCGATTACAGTCTCTTTCCCAGGGTCAGGCTACTCCAGAAGATCAGCAGTCTAGCCCAGTTGCTTCCCTTCCAGTCGCTTCCTCAAATTCTGGATCCCGCTCTCAGCTTCGTCGATCCTCTCAAGTTTCTTATCCTGTTGAAGGCTTATGAATCGTTTTCCCCAAAAGATCGAGCTTACCTCATCTCAGTTCAATCTTCTCATGAACCTGAATCATTTGCTGAAGCCTCCAATCATTCTTGCTGGAGAGATGCTATACAGGAAGAAATCAATGCCCAGGAAAAAAATAATAAGACTTAGTCTCATTGCCTGCAGGGAAAGAAGCCATTGGCTGCAAGTGGATTTACAAGATCAAGCATAAAGCAGATGGCTCGGTAGATAGATCCAAGGCTAGATTAGTAGCTAAAGGATTCCTTCAAGAATATTGAGTCGAACCCCTTTAGAGATAGGGAAAACATTTGCTTCAGGTTGCTAAACACCATTCGTGGCATTCTTGCCTTGGCTGCAATCAAAAGGTGGCCTTATTTCAATTTGACGTGAAGAATAGAATGCCTTTCAACAACATAAGGGAAGGGGGCAAGAATAAGTTTCTATTCAGCCTCCTCCAACTCCAGGCTTCTCTTCTCCTAGGAATCCTAACTTGGTATGCAAGCTCAAGAAAGCGATTTATGTTACGGCCTCCGGCAAGCTAAAGCAGGCACCAAGAGCTTGGTTTGAAAGGTGACAGCAGCATGTATAAGAGCCGAAATAGGAGTAGAGGAAGGAGCCGGTTTTCAAATAAGTAAATCGGATCATTCAATGTTTATAAGGAGGTCGACATCAGGTATTGTCCTTCTTCTGCTTTATGTGGATGACATTGCTTTCTCTAGTAATGACTTAGCTTCGATAAATGAGCTTAAGAGAAGATTAAGAACCCAGTTTGATATGAAAGATTTAGGAGACTCAAAGTCTCTTCTGGAGATTAAAGTGATGAGGTCGCAAAGAGTTTTGGAACCCAGTGCAAGTATTCATTGGATTTATTGTCAAAAGCTGGTCTTTCTGCATGCAAACCGGAATAAGATCTAAAATTAGCCTCAGATGCAGGAGAGCTATTGGATGACCCATCTACTTGCAAGGAGACTTGTTGGGACTCTTTTCTACCTGACTAATTATCGCCCAGACATTGCTTACACTTACAACATAGGAGGGAGTGATCAGCCGATTTTTATATGGACAAGCCGAGATCATCTCACTTAGAAGCTGCTTTTCGGATTCTGCGATACATCAAAACCTCACCGGGAAGAGGTTGATTCTTGTCTACGTCATCCTCTCTTCAGCTGTCTTGTTACTATTATACTGATTTCATTAAGGCAGTAGATTATTCTGATTGGATTTCGAACATCGTCCCCATGCCCAAGAGGGATGGACGTGTTCGCGTATGCATCTATTTTTGAAATCTCAATAAGGCATGTTCCCAAAGATGATTTTCCGCTGCCGAACATTGATTTGCTTGTGGACAAGACTATTGTGAAAGTATGCCTACTACTCTTTTCTGACGATTCGAAATTCTCGTCGTCGGCTTCCTCGAGGTAGAGTTCGTTTTGTAATAGGAGCCCCGTTGGGCTTTTACGGAGCTTGGCCTGCTTTCGCATTAACTCACCATTTGGTGATTTGGTTCGTAGCAGCCCAAGTATATCCAGGAGTTCCTTTTACACGCTACGCTATCCTCGGCGACGATATCGTCATCGGAGATGAGCGGGTGGCTGAGCGTTATCGCGAGCTAATTTCGCCACTGAATGTTCCATTTTCGTTAGAGAAATCGTTAGTATCGTCAGTTGGTGCTTTGGAGTTTGCTAAGCGGTTCTTCGTACGCGGAGTGACTAAGGACTTTTTTCCTGTCTCCTCTCACATGTTAAGATCCTTAGTTAGTTCCATATCCCTTGTTCCTGTAATGAGGGCTATTATGTCTAAGGATCTTCCATTGTCGTATCGTTTACGGGAAGCTGGGTACCGGGTGTATACTCGACGCACGGCGCCTCCTAGGAGACACTGGAATCGGCATTTCCTCGTCTTTCACTCACCGAACGGTGTGTGTCCTCTCCCCTTTTGGATCTGGTTAAGCGCAACCACTGGTAAACACTTAACCTCTTATCAACAAGGTATGGTGAGGGGACCTGATTAGGCTCTTGACCCCTCGATTCCCGAGAAACTCGGTGATCTCGAAGTTTTTCGAAGCCTGGTCAGAGTACGACTGGTTAGGGGGGCATGGGTTTTGTCCGAATGGATGAAGTCCATTCTCTCTTACTGGTCTTGGTATTACACTATCGCGGAGGAAAAAAATACTCCCATTAAGGCGCTACTTAGCCCGTAGGTTGTGCCACTGGTGACTAAGCATACAAAGAAATTATATCATTTTAATAATAACTAATAACGGCGCAGTCTTCCGGTGTTACGACCTGGTGCTCTCTTGTGAAGAGCCAAAAGCTCTTGACGTAGGGAGGTTCGGTCCAGTCTGTTCACCTCAATTTGCGCCCTATTTGAGACTAAAGCAGGCGGGGTGGCGACCTCGTCTTAAGATAAGATATAGGCAATAAGACTTTAAGCGCACCTGAGCGCCTTTGCCCATAGAGAATACTGGGGACGAAAGTCTCTGGGGGGGGTTCTATGGAGCAAGTCTCCCATTGCTTTCGCAAACCAGTGGGGACAACCCCCCCAAAAAAGGAGTTTTCCACGCGGCGATCTTTATTTGAAATATGAGCCGCTAAAATTTTTCCCTTTTGAATGTATTTACCCCTATGAACCTGATGCATACAAGTCTTTCTGTTTGTTGGAAGGCTTATACATAATACATAAGCAAAGGAATGCTTATAGTGTATCCATTACCTGATAAAACGATCTTTTCCGGTAAAAAAAATGATCTTTCCCTTGTGTTCGGCTATAGCGGAAACCCCCAAATCTAGAGCTTATGGTCTTAAGTTCCAACCCAGTTCCAACAATGCACTTCTCGGCACATCATCGGTAGGGGAAAGCGGAACTGCTTGACGCTGTATACTAAATACAACAAGCCCGATTCGCATCATTATGCTCAATAAAAGGAATGAGGGAAGCTAAAATAAAAAATATTGGAAGGAAGGGAAAATTGGAAGATGAATCTTTTCCCCGGAGCTGGAACAACTTGTTCTTCCTGACCCGATTCAACGCCAAAAAATTTCTTGTCCCTACCATAAAGTATTCATATTTCCTGAAGAAAGCATCTGTTCCTTGATCTCTAAGATATTTCATAAAACTCTGTATGGATCCTCAATCACCAATCCTTGCATGAATATGGGTTGTGCTCGAGAGGCTATGAATCGATTGGACCTGCCAATCGAATGAATCGTAACACTCGTAATGATCGACTTTACGAAGATTCCATTGGATTCCGGAAGCTCGTAGCATTGGTCCGGCACAATTCCCAAACTTAAGAAGCTGGGGGCGTGCCCGCCGGCCCCTGACCTGCCTCCGATTACTGAAAGTGAATTCGTTTTCTATTATCCTAAGCCGGCCTATCATTCATTGGTTAGGGTTAGGGAAAAAAGCTAGCTGGAAGTAATCTCTTCTTCTCAGTGAAAGCTAAAGGCCCTGGTATAGTAGGAGTGTGGTGCGTGCTCTCTTTATTCTGTAGATGCGCTCCTGGGAAGGGAAGCCAGAATTTTTGATGTAGATCGATCAATCCCGCCCTGTTCAAGTGATCGCCCCGAGCCGAGCGAGATTGGAGACCGCCTTAATGATTGTTCGTAATGGGCCTACCATTTAACGTACGTATGTCATGTAGTTTTTGTTTTTGTACCTTTGCCGTCCCTCAGCCCCTCTCCCACCTTTTCTATCTATCATTAGAAGTAGGGCGGGTGGCGTACCTCACTGAGCTATCGATCGCGAAGCTATCGCCCGGTTCAACCAACCGTCCGTCCTGGTGCCTTTGCTACTGATTTGACCGCTTCTCATCGTTAATCCGGGTTCACCTTGGCCCTCGCCCCAGAGTTCTTATGAAGACTCTGGTGGTGCATGTGTATGATAGGGCCCCCCATAAGCGCCAAAGATCGGTGATGTTGTCATGATAAGTGTGGGAAGTCGATAGTGTACTCGATGATTGAAGGACCTATCGACTTGCATTAACTTCCCGTGGCTAGTAGGGGGAACTTTAATGTAATTGCGGATCCATTAGAAAAAACTTGGGGGTCGGCCTCCTGACTTCAATGCCTTTATTGAAGTGATGAGCTTTGAAGATATGATTTTCTCGTTTGGATTATTTGATTGGGCTTTCAATGACAGCAAATTGACTTGGAGCAATAATCAAACCGGTCAACATTGTATCTGGGCCAGACTAGATAGAATCCTTTTGAATGGGGACTGCCCGCTTCTATATAAAAGCCGTTTTGCTTCCACCAGAGTTGACCATTTGCCTAGAGTATCCTCTGATCACTCTCCTCTAGTAATCTTCTTAGAAGATTATAATACTCGCAGGCCTGGGGTCTTTCGTTTCCAAAGAATGTGGATTCGGCATTCTGATTTTCACATTGATCTCAACCATGCTCGGGAAATCCTTTTCAAGTCTTCTCCAGGAAGATTGACTCGACAAATAAAGCACTGAATTGGCGAACTATTTCAGAATATAGAAATGCCGAAAACGAAGAAGGCCAATTTGCTCTTGAACAGAGTTGGTCTGCTGATAAGAAAATTCCGTTAGATTCGGCCAAGAGTAACCTTGAAAAACTTCTGCTTTACGAAGAAAGATAGAGAATAAGCACCTTGAACCAAATTCAGAACTTGTCTCTGTATGGCAGGAAGCTCTCAATTTATTTCATACATTACTTTCTTCTCAAGGTTCGGTGCTTGAAGATGAGATCCTTGAGACCATCCCCTCTCTAGTCACAGAGGAAGATAATAAGATGCTTACGAGCCCTCCTAATATGGAAGAAGTTCAAAAGGTAATTTTGAGCATGTCGGCGCGCACTAACCCAAAAAAAGGTCTCCCCTATCCTTTAAAGCCTGATGGCTTTCCGGATTCTTTTTATATATAAAATATTGTTGGGATTTCAAAAACTTCCAGCTGGTCACCTTATTTCTTCGCTGAAGGTGCGATCCCCCGTTCCATCAATGCTACTTTCCTTGCTTTGATTCCTAATATTTTTATCTAGGACTACCTCTATTTAAATCTAAAAAAAAAAATTTCTTATCTTCTGGATAGAGTATAAAATAAAGTGGTAGGAGATGAAAGCATTCTTATCCAGTGGAGGGCGGCTTATTTTGCAAACATGTTCTTTTCTCGATGCCTATACACCTTCTTGCAGGGATTCCAGTTTCAAAGGGAGTTCTTGACCAGTTGGAAAAAATGTTAGCTAACTTTTGGTGAGGCGGTGATGAAGACAAAAGAAAGCTTCACTGGATATTTTTTGATACTATGTGCCTACCTATTCAGGAAGGGGCTTTGGGTCCTCCTACTACAAGACATTTTAAAGAGCTTTCAAAAGCTTTTCGTATGAAGTTTACCTGGTCAATAAGAGGGGGGTACTTTCAATGAGAAGAATATCAGAGAGCCAGGGGTGGAACCAGAAATCAGTGCTAGCTCCATTTCCAATCCACCATTTTGAGCCCTTAAGTATTGGTGGGGTTGCCTGAAAATAGAACTGATTTCACTCCAAGTCCTGACAACCAGGTTTGGAAGCAGCAAACCATAGGGGCTTTCAGATAGTTTCTTTTGAAAAAAGCAGTCCAAAGTATGACTCCCTCTTATTGACCAGGCCAACTCCTTTACTAGTTATTTCTCCAAAATCATAGATGTGCTTGACGCACATGGAAACTGCTTTTTCAATGATATCGAAGCATTTTTGCCTCACAGAGTGGTTTATGATATCAGGAATAGTGGTATATTCACATCTCATCAGGAGGACAGGGGGATATGGAAAAAGAATCGTAGTGAGTCATTTATTCTCAAAGCTGGTTGGGAATCGATAAGAAATCGAACGGGCATTCAAGCTTGGACTCAATTTGTCTGGGATAAAGCCATTCCTACAATAATTAGCATTTTTGCGTGGAAGCTCTTATTTGACTTTGTATGCGGGGATTTCAGAATCAGTTAAGGGAATAAATTCAGACGAAAGGTATAAGATTAGCAAGCAAATGCTTGTGCTGTTCGGAGCATGATAAATAAAGTATTGATCACCTCTTCATCAAGAGTGAGCTTGCTATGGAGGTTTGGAACCATTTTGATCGCCTTTTCTCAATCTAGTAAGAGGGGTTGGTTAAAAGAGATGGATTCCTTTCTTCAATGCATTCCACCGGGGCGACTAGGGTACCTTTTTTCTAAGATACGTTCATTCAAGCTCAAGCCAACTTCTATTAGTTCAGTCGGAAGGCAAGGGTCCAGTCTATCAATCCATTCAAGTTATTGGGGCATTTCTGCATTGGTTGAGTGCCTAGTAGGGGAATCGGTTTCATCTGCTACGCTTTATGCGCCTGGTTTTCTGGCCAATCCTGTTAGATGAGCGGCAGTGTTGAAAGGTGCAGATCTTGGTCTTCTAGACCTGAGCATCTTTTTCATAGTGGATCCTCCGCTTGGGGAGAAAGAGATGTTAGGTGGGTAGCTATTGTTGGCCCAGTCAAGAGTTGCATGTGGTCGGTCGTCAGATGCCACCGCTTCATCATTCAGACAGATGCGCGATATGTGAGATAGAATGCCCGCCTTTATACAATCCATTTTTGCTTGCCTCTCACCAAAGTTCGGACTAAATGGGCAAAGCTCCGGCTAAGAAAAGAGAGGCGGAGCTATGGAGGGTAGGCTTCTCATGGTATGCCGAGCCTTTCAAAAACACACAACCTAAGATGCTTCCCAGGGTGATACTAACCACTAAGAACTGAAAATTCCACTAAATATGTGTTTATGATGTGGCGGAGTATCATGTGATAGGGGGTGGGGTGATGGGAGATTACGTATTAGCGCTGCTGCCTACTTAAATAAAATTCTGAATCGAGATGATGGCCAATGCACCCAAAAAATCCAAAAATGGACGCGGAGGACAATCCGTGGCTTAGACGGGAGATCACGTTTGAAGAATGAGAATCTGAATAATAAAGCCCCAGGTCCCGACGACTTCCCGGCTGCCTTCTGCCAAAGGATGTGGCCTCACACATTAATAAAGCTATTGAAGTCTCTTAAAAGCAGGTCAGATCCTCAAATCGAGAAATTCTACGTTTATCACACTTATTCCGAAGCGGGAAGTTAGCGATTCCTTCGATCTTTATCGGCCTCGCTATGCAATTATGTGTACAAGAAAAATGAAGAAATTCTTGCGAATAGGCTATGCAACCGAAAGTCATAAGTTTTATTGAACCAGATGGCGTTCGTTAAAAGAAGAGGGATAGTTTACAAGATTTTGCTATCTTCTAGAAATTTTGAGGAAATTTCACCGCTCCGCAGTTTTCTGCAAAAATAGATTTGCACAAAGCATTCGATTCGGTAAATAGAAACTTCTTTCTTGATGCTCTAAGAGACCTGGGCTTTGATCGGAAATGGATCAATTGGAAAAAACGAATGCATCTCGACTCCTTCTTTCTCGGTTATTTGCAATGGCTCGCCCTTCGGGTACTTAAAAAGCAGCCATGGCCTAAGACAAGGGGATAAAGGATCTCCCTTTCTCTTCAGCATAGTTATGGAAGGGCAACCAATTCTTTTCGAAGAACGGTGCAATCGAGGAGCCATAAAACCAATGCAGCCTCGGGAAGAAAACCAACCCGGTTACTCACCTTGACGATCTCATGCTAATCACGGAAGCAAGCTCGCATTCCGCTCAAGGCCTCTTCGATCTACTTGACGACTTCACCAACGCTTCTGGTCTCAAGAAGAAAAGAAAATTGTTGATCTCAGGAAAAAAGATCCTACGCAGGCTAATTTCCAGCATACTGGGTCTCGAAGAAGGGACCAAAACATATTTGCCGATCCTTGTCCCCCAAGACCTAAAAAGAAAGCGGTTAGGCAACCTTCCATTGCTGCGGCTGGCCATTCCCTGTTAGCTGTTTCAGCAACCATCTTTTGATTCCAAAACCAAACACTGACTATCCCCTCCCGGGGGGAGATAGAAAGGGCCCACTCAATCCATACTTTCTTTGTTTGAGAATGATGTTGGGAGAAAGAAAGGCGACTCTTGTGATCCTTCGACATTATTGAAGGGAGGGGGCTCGACCTGAAGCCTTTAAATAGAGTCCCATCCGCCTCCCCGGTTCCACGCGCCCTTACTAGTAAAGGCTCCCATTGGGAGAAGCAGAAATTGTTGAGTGAGCGATCCGGCCTCTAGCCCTTCAATGATGGATTTGTCTTCAAAAAAACCCCGACCTCGGTAGAAAACGAACGGCGGCGTGAAGTTGATGAGCAGGGAAGATGTCTTTTTTCTAGTTGGCCAAGCGGCCCCGTCTTCCATAGCCAGGGATTAGTCATTTAAGGATCAGTTGATGCGCTGGGATGAAAGAAAGTTCTTCGGTGCTCCTCCGGGACGAACAGTAAAGGCACATGAAGGTATTGGCTCTTACTATCGATCGGATGGAGAGAACCGCGGCGCTTTACCTTACGAATATCTAAAGGCGAAGATCCCTTTTCGACTAGCAAGTTTACGTAGGTCCTAAGTTTCTCATTACTCGGTGAAGTCTGATTTGAGCCCTGGTCAAACTGATCCCTCCGGCGGGCGGAGGATGGTCTCATATTAGCAATGTTTTGATTGCGCCTATCTTTAGTTGCCAATGAACCGATCACCAAGAGAAAGTCTCTCTCTTAATCTTAAGGTGAAGCGCGTTTCAGCCAGCTGAAGGAAGGTCGCGTTAGCGCCCCTGCAATCAGAAAGCCTTTTGATAACCTTACTACTAATAGAAAGGGGAAAGATGCGCTCAATCCCTTGCTTCTTGCTCCAACTTAGGAGTAGGGGCTCTAGAGCTTTTTCCGCAGGCTGCTATGCTAGTTGTAGCGCGGTAGCGCTTTACTAATATAATAGAAAGTCAAGTTAGTGTTATGGTGCAGCGGAAATGCAAAAGAGAAGAGCAAAGATTCCCGACCCAGAGCAGAGCATGTTATTGACTCAAGCACAAATCTGTTGAATGAAGGTAGCTTGCTTACTCTCAGACACTAGTTAGACGGGAATCCCTTGACTTCGCTTATGCCCTTATTTATGCAGTAAAGAAAGCAAGTGAGGCGGGCTAAGATTCCATTCGAAGTAACGTAACAGGATTCGATGTTGCACCATCTTCCATTCTTCTCCGGATTTACCCGGTGAGGGTGGCGCGTGTGAGTCAACGTTGACACTTTCAATGTGTGGATCATACCTTTGGCATCCTGGGACAGTAGCCCCAGGTACTGATGAAGTGACTCCCGGGTAGAGAAAGTGCTGGCAGAAAGGAACTCTCAAAGCATGGGGTTTCGACGCCCGCCCTCTATATTCCTTCCGTATCGAGACCTAGCCCAGAAGTTAAGACCTACCAACCAATGGAACCAGAAAGACCGAGTCCAGGCGTCCCAATTCTGATATTCCTTTCCCTCCGTTGATCGATCATTAATTCACTTCTTTAGGAAGGAGCTGAGAGGGTTCGGACCGGGGTGATTTCGCGAGTAGATGGCCCGGCATTCAAGCAATCAATCATTCTTTCTATCGGAACCTTCGAGACAGTAGAAGTCTGACCTTCCCATCTTCATCTATCGGCTCAGGGCCTCATTAGCGTGCTCGTCTGCGAGCTATGCTGGTTCTGTAGAGTAATGGCCGCGCAACAACGAGAGAGAGAGGCGGGCTTGGCGACAGACCGCGTCACGGCTATTCCATTCCTTCTGTACTACAGTTCGGTGGAGGAACTGTAAGAGAACAATTTCAATCCGTGCTCTAACTCGACATATTCGTCTTAATCATATTCGATCGTATCTTTCTTCTAAATCTTCGACATCTTCAGCGGAATCTTCATCTTTCTTCTCCAGTTGATGATGCATATTCATATTGAACTTCAACCAATGTCACTTGCTCAACAACTGCCTTCTTCCACAGTAGCTTCCCCTCCATCCTGAGGCGAGTCCACAAATCCTATTTTTTCCATTTCTTCTGCGTCTGTTGATGATGCTGAAGCGGATTTCACTTCAACGGGTACTGGTAGATTTCCACTGGCACAGCGGCACTTCTGGCTTAAAGGCTTGCTTTCCAGGCTCCTTTCAAAGGTAGACTTATCGCCAAGGACAAACCAACCGATCTACGCTCGAACCTCCTTAGAAGACTGACTGGTCAGAAATAGGTTATCCAAGAAGGCTCCACTACGAAGGGGCGAATATCGTTTCACATCTGATGAAATTGAAACAACTAATCTACTGGCATATCATATATAGTTTCATCGTCTTGTAGATGTACTTAATAGATGCACTATAAGTCTTCGATAGAACCCCAAAAAAGGTGCTTTTCGGTCACCATTGGCTTGGGGCGTCCTCCTCTAACTGAACAACTTCCAAGTCAACCTTCTTTGCTTAAGCGCTTCTCTTCTCTGGGCGCATGCTCTCCCATTGGGAATTTTATATCCTTGTACCACTGAAGGGCTCTGGCTCTCTCAATCAAAGGATGGTCTCTATCAATCTCCTGGCCGAAGTCAGTGTTCAACTCCGCGGGGGTTTCCAAGTCCAATCCGAGTATTCGCGCCTATGGACTCCCCTTTTGAAGGAAGCTTGCGAAGGGCTGAATGAGAGATAGAGCTTCGATCAAGAAGAATAAAATTGTATACTAGACCTTCCCTCACGGGAGAACCAAGCAAGGGATGAGCGCTAGCGCTAAAGCCGTTGTTTTCTTCCTTCATTTCATAGCGGAAGGTTGACTTTTGGGTATTCAACTTTGTGTTGCAGCTCAGTGAGACGACCCTGACACAGAAGGTTTAAGCTCAGCCTCAGGGCGGCAGTCTCTCTATCAGGCCCCGCTGCTTCAGTCTCTTTCTCTTTATCCGCATTCCCATACGGATTAACAAGCCTTTCTGTACTCTCTTCCTAGCATTAGAAAAGTCGTCTAAATCTACTAAATAAGAAAAAATCCTCCAATATTAGTATAGGTGGGGCAGAAAGGTTGAGCGGAGGCAGGCAAGTTTGTAAAGTAGAGTTTTTCAGGATAAATAGCCGAGTTCAAAGGAGAGAGTTATCTCGCGCCACTAGGTATTCTCTACCTAGCCACCTGTCTCGCTTTCGGGTAGAGGTAGGCTCTTGCAAGATGCAAGATGCTTAAAGCCTTTCGAGCTGCTGTCGCTCATTCTTTCGTTGTTGCTAGCTTGCGGTCACTCGTCTCTTTGTTGCTAGACGAGGCTTTTCCTTCGCTCATGTCGCTTGCCGGTCACTCTGATTCTTTATTGGTTGCCAGCCGGTCGCTAGTCCGCCTCACTCTTGATTGGTTTGAAGGCTTCTTTAGCGGCGTAAGCAGAAGACTGTTGAAAGTTGACGAAGGCTAGACAATGTATAGCACTCTGTCAGCGAAGCCCCCTACTACGAATGAGAATGAACGAACTCGGTCTAGCGCAAAAGGAGAGAAGAATAAGCAAATGGATCAGAGCAATTAGCGAGACTCAGAGTGATTGCAAGCTATGCTCACTCGGCAAGTGCAGAATCAGAGTGAGTCAAGCGAGAGGGAAGCTAGTGAGAGAGAATCCAAGTGAGCTAGCAAGAATGAGGACTATACCGACAATCAAGGCGATAGAGAGGGCACTCAGTCGTCAGTCTAGCGACTCTACCGCCCAGCAAGCAACTGAACTCGCTAATCAGAGACTGAGACGGACACGAGCTCAGTCGTGCCATAAGGAAAAGACAAAGGAAGAAGGCGACTGGAAAAAAGAATAATGAGAGGTCGTCACGACTAGCTAGAATGAGCAAGCACAGAGCAACTCGACAGCGACAGGCGAGCAGTATAAGCCCTTCTCCTGCCTGGGGTGGGGCAGGGACATCCCTCTCTGTAAGGTGGGAAGGAGCGATTCACGACAAGGAAGGAATAAAGAAAATCAGACTAGTCGTACGAAGGCGGAAAGGAGGGGAAGGTCACCCGAGAGGTTCGGTTGCTTGACTTCATAGAAGGGGCTTTGGCTATTCATTCCCCTTTTTGTTTTGAAAGAAGTAGGCCTAACCTAACTATGACTAAGGTAAGGAGCTATTCATAGGGTCGATTCCTGGTTCACCACTCATTCCCGAGCCCGAGAAAGCACCTCGTTTTAGGTTAGCTGTACTTACTTGTCGTGTACCAGCACGTTTTCGTAGACGGATTTGAGGGCATTTAGCTAGCCTATATCTCCATCTCCGCTCTTCTTGCTCCACCAATAAGCTCCCGTAGCAATAGTAGCCCCTGTGTTAGCATCTTAGGAAGCCGTGATATGATAAACATAAGCATCTCCGTCCATGTGAGGCCGGCGATATGGATGAAATGTATACCCGTCCGTGGTAGGAATCGATCCAAGGGCTACTTTCAGGCTCTACTAAGAGAATTCTGAATTCCCGGCTCTTAGTCATCGCTCTGTGAAGGAGTGGGCGAATAAAGATCCGGCAAAGGCAGAGCTAGCGCACGGGAGGTGACACCAACCACACTCCTGGCTAGGCGCACTCTCGTCGATCCACCACAAAGGTTAACGACGTATTCGACCGAGTTTGGAAGAAAAGAAAGGGGCAGCACATTATCCATGTGCAAATGGAGATGCGGTCCGGTTCGAGCATATCCTCTCCATATCTCGCCAGATTCTTCGATTGCATACCTATCAGCAGTAGGAGATCCTGTTCCCACTCGAGAGCTTGTAGTTGCGGATCTGGAAGATCTCTAAGGTGGAGTTGATCCCACGGACGCAGAGAGCGTCAGAGCCGATTCACTAAGTCAATTAGCCAGTTAAAGAACCTCCCCATCAGTGGAAACTCTTTATCCAGTCGATGAAGATCCCGAAACGGAGTCCCTAGTTCACAAGCCTGTTCCATAGCTAGCCCGGGTTGAACCATACTCCGTGGAAGCACACGTTTTGGGGCAGACAAATCGATCAGGTCGAATAATCCGTTCCAGTTCCTGCTACCCCTCTTGCCGCTCGGCATGAATGAAGTTGAATACCCGATCTTCTCGGACAGAGCTTAGTCCTCTTCCCTGCTTTCCTTTCTTTTTTGTTATGTTAGCGGAAGACTTAATCCTTAGAATTAGAAAGAGAGAAAAAGTACACGACAAAAATACAGAGCTAACCTCAGCAATGGAGGAAGGAAGAGCAAGACTACTAAAAGTACTCGACAGACAAGAGTGCCGACTAAATAGAAAATATGGTATGGCAAGATTTTCAATAAGCGAGTGAATACCCGGTAGCATTGATTGAATGGGGTCATGGGAGAGAATTCATTTGATGAAGGAGAAAGTCCTTCGAAGGAAGAAGCTTCCGACCTATCCTCGATCTCTTTCTCGATGGGGAAAATAGCTAAATGGTAAGAAGGAAGTGGCCTCAGTGGAAGAGGAGGGTTAGATCTTCTTTAGCTTAGCTGGGAAGAAAGAGTTTGATAGAATTAATCTGCTTTCCTTGGCGAGCTCACTGGAACTCTTTTCATCAGGGTAGAGGGAAGAAGGTCTTCAAAAGGCATCAGTGGGCTTCAAAGAGTTAGCCGGCTCAAAGCGTAGAGCGATTTAGGATCAGATCTGTACTGGGTTAGGCTTTGGATAGTTGGATAGATCGCCTTAAGGCTATAAAGGCCATTCAAGGGCAGGCGAGCGAATTCTATCTATGCCTAAGATGAGGAAGAAAATAAGCAGATTTTGGCTTGGCATTACTATTGTCGCACCAGTCTTCCTTCCTTTTTAGTAGCCGAAGGTGAGAAGGAAGAGCTCACTCTTCCCGTAGGCAGTTTCATTCCTAACTGTTCAAGCCTTTAGATCTGTCTTTGACAGAGATTTTACTTTCTAGTCAAAGGGGCTTTACCTGATGGATAGAATCTTCTTGCAAGAGGTTTTATGTAAATCAAACTTCCTTGCTGTCTTATAGGTCCCTCTTCTCTTGCTGATTTAGAACTCGAGGAGGAGAGAGGCTCTTCTGACTAAAGCAAAAAAGGGGTGAGCTTGAGAGTTGATCTTCTTTCAGCTGAGAGAGATGCTAGCATTGAATGAAGGTGATTCGCCAGTATTTGGAATAAAGAACCTTCTATAATGAAGAGTAGGATGTGAGGGAAGTCTAGTCGACTAAGAGAAGAGAAAGAGGAATGTACCTACCAATCCAATAAGGAGATAGAGTGGAAGAGAAGGGAACCTTATTCTTAGTCAAAGTCTATTCAATATACCCCCATAGTCTAGTGGTTAGGACACCTCTCTTTCAAGGAGGCGGCGGGGATTCGAATTCCCCTGGGGGTATGGGTACTACGAAAGGAAGTTGATCACGGAGAGAAGGGCCTTTGTCTGGTTCAGTTTCACTCTGAAGAATGTCCTTTTATCTTCCTATTCCATTCTTCCTATCCTACAGGAAAGAAAGCTCTTAGCGCACAAAGCGAAGGTAGGCCTTCTTTTCTTTCAATACTAGCTAGTAGTGAAGACTCTTCTTGCTCACCTTTCTGGGATAGTTTCCATCATCGTCCTTAGTTAGCCGACGCCTCTCTCTTCTCCTTTCTTTACAGAAGCGGATTCGAAAGCGCAAACAAAGCAGCAAGAAGAAAGCCTAAAGGCACAATCAAGGGAAGGCTCGGACAGCTGCCAAAGGGCTTCCCTTAGGGGACCTATTATACCACTTCCCGGAATAGAAGACAAGAAGGAGGTTTGACATCACTCGTGACACAAGAAGGTCAGCTCACCAAAGGGGGGAAGAAAGGTCAGCACTTGAGAGGCTTGCTTCGCTCAAAGGTGGGAAGAAAGGTCAGCACTTGAGAGGCTTGCTTCGGTAGGAGTCAAAAAGAAAAGGCTCAAGAAGGAACTGCACTCGAAGAATGGAAAGGCAGGCTGCGAAGGCGCTAATACGATTGTTCTCGAAGCAAAGGCCCATACAATTACCTTTTCCTTATATAAATAATAAATAATAATAAATATGCCCTTTGATCGCTACAAGTATGTAGCCACGTAAACGAAAAGAAGGCAAGCTATCTGATGAATTTGCTGAAAATGCCAATGCCGCATCACCACCTTTCTGAACACCTGACCTCTTGACTCAAAGTCTTGAGCCACGTAAATCAACCCCAAAGCTAAAGGAGTCCTTTTAGGATGAGGTTGATGCTTTTATAAGCCTTGATCGGAGCCTGGTCTGGGATCGAGAATTTTCCCTCTAATATCAAAATTACGAGTAGAAGGGCTCATCCCAGAAGTTTTTCCTAGAGGTGAAAGGGGAAGGGGCATTGGTACTTATGCAGGGTCGGGTTAAATGAGTTCCGCGGGTAAGCAATTCGGTGCAAGCTCCAGCTGATGCCATTGATGTAAAAAAGACATCTAGAATAGATCGAGCTAAATGTTGAATCATAAGTAGGAGGGATAGCGCTTCCTTTTCTCTTTATAGGTCTACTTCTTTCACTACTTATGCCTTATAGCGATAAAAATAAGCTTCTTCCGGGACCGGAACATGGAGACCAAAAAGTTTTGACTTACCGCCACACCTTGCTTTTCCTTTATTACTATTACGTTCTGCCCTTACATCGTAAAAGTCAGGGTTAAGCTATAGAACTAGATACGTAAGAGAAAGAGAGGAGAGCAGAACTTTACTTCTCTGCTGAGGCATAAGCAATAGCAAACAATCTCTAACTAAGTAGTTTAAGTGGTCCGCTGTCTAACATCTTTCGTATCTTGTTCGTGTTCGGTGACCTTCGCTGAGGTTTTTGATCTACCTCCGAAACCTAAATCCATCTTTTTAAATGGCTAATGCCTAGATTAGGTCTTAAAAAAAAGGCTGTCCATAGAAAGAATTAACTCCAGGCTGGCATGGCTTTGAGGTTCACTCAAGATCCGGATTACCTCTGGGATTATTAATTACGTATACATAAGGAATATTTAACAAAGCAGACCAGCACTTTTTATTCATTAATAGCCGTTACATGGGAATACATCAAATAGGAAGCTTACACACACATAGACCAGCCACACAACTAAACACAACATTACAAAGTTAACAACGGAAGCATTGAAGACTACTAGTGATACATGCAAACACACCCAAAAAAAGCAATCTACTTAGGATAGGAGTAGATCTCCACCAAACAAAGAAAAAGAAGAAACACACTACTTTGCGTCTACAGACACTTATTTAAACCTTCTAAAACTAAAAAGAGTCGACGGGCTCTTCTATTCTAGTCTCCCTGGCGACCACGGATGACAGCACCCACAATTAGGTCTTCCTGTTCTTGGAGGAGGGCCCGTTTCCTGTCTTCCAGGACGCTAATGCGGTCCCGGATCCACTGCATGGCTGCAGCCACAAGTGCAGGATCGATGGGAGGCAGGTGCTCCCAAAAGGCAGCCAGGGTTTGCTGCCTTTGTTCTTTTTCGTTTTCGACGGCTTGAATTGATTCTTGAATTGTTGCAAGTCTTCCGACGATATCCATTTCAGTGTTGTTGGAATAAGTGTTACTGAAAGTATTTCTTTTTGACTTCTACGTCTCTCTTTGAAAATATAGACTGAAAGAAGCTTCTATTTATAGGCCTTGGAGGCGCTTAACTCTTTCTTATTATTAGAAATAATTGTTGTCTTAGTTTCATAACATGTTTCAACCCCGGCTTTTCATGAATATGGAACCCCATCCACTAGATTTTAGTGTGCTGAATAATTATCTTCGTACTCCAATCCGTACGAAAGGCCCCCTTTCTTTTGGCGGGTATCGCCACGTGGCTTAATCCCGGATCACTCCTTAAGGAATAGGACACAATAATATAGCGCACATCAGAGAAGAGAGTACCCCCTTTATTATAAGACAGGCCCCCCGCGTCCTTTCTTAAGAGATGGAGCAATCGTCACTCGACAGCTCAAAGCTGACCGGTACAACCCGCGTGCTTGCCTACTCGTCCCGGCCTATTTGTACCCAGCTACAATCTCTTCCCTTATAAAAGAAAAAAGGGCCCCTCGGCCAATCGTCACTCGACAGCTCGAAAGCGGATCAGTAAAAAACCATGTGATCTGTACTTGTTTACGTACTGCCCCTTAGGCCTAGGGCTTCGTCGTACCCTGCTTACTCCTCTTTCACTTTCACTGGCTTCTACTTGTCTTTTTTTTATTGGCTTATTTCTAAAATGGTATCAGCATTTGAGACGACTCTCCCCGGCCAATCCTCAGTCGTCCGTCCTTGCTTAGAACCACTATCTCTTGATTGATCTGTTTTTTTCTACCTTTACAGCTCGCTCTGTAAGTTCACTAGCAATACACCAATACAGCACTAGCTATAGCAGTAACTAGTACAATGAGTCAGGGGTCGGGTGAATTCAATAATAGACGCCTGTTGGCATTCCAGCCTTCCTATCCGAAAGAGAATCCATTATTTCTTGGTCGTGAATATCTGAACTGGTTGTTCACTGTTCAAGAATTCTTGTTTAGACAATTCAGACCATCCATACATAGTCTTTTAATCTAAGATTGAAATTCTTCCATATTTTATTGCTAAAATATTGTTCCATGGAGCTAAGGTCCAAAATATGGAAGAAAGAAGTGTTTCCACGACTCTCCAGTCAATTCTGTTCTACTTAATCCCTCTTTCATGGCAACATCTCTTTCCGGCTAAGGAACGGGAAATCTTTCTCCTGTTACATGAATCAAGTTTTCATTTTATCCGGAAAAGCCCCTTTCCAGCTGACGCTGTCAGTCCACTAACAGCGGTATACAGTAAGTCAGTATAAGTCAGTACAGGAAGGGCACGCGAAATAGACAACTACTTACTAGGCTAGGGTAGTAGTTTTTTCATCTTCCCTTTATTTTACTTTACCCTAGTGGAAATTCATTTTTAAAAGTTACTAGGTAATTAGTGAAGAGGTTTATAAAAGTGACAAGCTTGGTGGAAAGCTCTTATCTTAGGAGGAAAAGCTAAGTATGCCCGAGTAGTCTTGATATTGGTTGGTTTGAGGTTTCGTTAGTTTTATACTAACAAGCAAGCTTCGGCGACCGCTCGACCTAGCGCGTTAGCCCCAGTACTATAGGGAAGGCCTATGCGAAGAAAAGGCCTGCCCATCATCAAAGCAAGCCCAAGTCCATGCAAGAAGGCCCTCCAGATCTGTCCAAATTCAAAGCCCGTCAAAGGCATATGAAATCATGCAAAGGATCCGAGCCCATCCAAATGATGTTCAGCGGGCTAAACCCAAGTAGCTCTGGCCCATGATCCAAGAGACCCGAAACTAGTTAATCATGCTATCCTTACCTTCTAACCAATCGGCCAATCACGCTATCCTTACCTTTCAACCAACCCCTTCGATTCAGTTTCTGCAGCAGTATATAATCTCGGACCCGATGGATGCCTACAGAAAAATTTGTTTTCCAGCAGTGATGGCAAGAATCCGCGAAATAATGTTCTTTCTCCTTTTTGTGTTCTTTCTGAATGGAGCTACGCGAGGGAAAGCTCAGCTTTCTACTCTGCCGCAAAAGGGGGCCGCTTTCTTCCCCCCCAAAATGCCAGTTCCGCCATCAGGGCCTAGCAAGAAGCATAATTCTGTTCCAAAGCTTCGTTTCATTCCAGCAACAGTAGTCTATGGTTCGAAGCGCCGTGTTCCATCCGGCGCGAATCCTCTCCATAACTAGTATAGTGGAGGTCTTACTTGTATTGCAATAATGAAAAAATGTACGAACACAAATAATGAGCAGACCAGCCCACTTTTATATGTGGGTTCATTTCAGAATGTTTTTTTGTTTTGAATAAAGAAGCGCGTGAACTTTTAGTGTAAGGCAGGTGTTTTTCTCGGTGGATGGATGGGATAAATGCCTATATTGCTTTATAATGTTATTGTTATGTTGATGTTATATTAAAGAATGAAATCTAAAAAAGTTGCTTAGTCCCATTCTTTATAATTGTCTTTCTCATACTGTGTAAACGAACTTCAAGTCTGAATTGTGTACTCAACAGGAAGCGTCACAGCCACCCCCGATGTCGATCTGCAGTATTAGTTTGAGAAAGTCGTTTGGTTTTTAACCTAGAGCGATTGGTTTACCTGTATCATGCAAATGTCCAACACTTAGGTGCTTTCTAAGATCATCCTATATGAAAGATGTATGACATGTGTGGATAATGAATGACTTGCAGGGTATGCAATATCTTAAGTACAAAAGGTAAGACCTTTTAAGAGAAATGAGCTTAGCACAACACGGGATAGAAACCTAATCCTAAAAGGAGAAAACCCATCACTGAACAATCATAGGAATAGAAGAAATGGGTTCAGACCAAGTGACAGAACTCTCTATGAGTTGGGCTACATAAAAGATCCTTTTCTACTAAAATGGATGTAGGCTTAACTAAAGCCCAATGCAGGTTGAACTCTATGGAATCTAAGCCTCACTACCCTTACCCTTTTAGAGGGTTACAAGGAATTTTTGGCCGGCCCCATATAGATTCAGCTTAGGGGTTTATGAGAGATTGATTGATGGACCTAAGCTAAACAACTAAGATTGAACCTAAACCAAAACCTATAGACTGAATTAGGAGAGCAGAGGTTTAATTCAAGACCAGGAAAGCAAGTTATATCGAAGCCCAATGCCAAGCAAAGCCCTAGACTACAAGTTAAGAAATTGGGTTCAACTAAGCCCTTAACCCAAGATGAGGTGGAGCCTTAACCCGACACAAGAGGGGCCCTGTAGGATAGTGGGCTTAGTCAGCCCAACATAGGTTGTTAACCAAAAAGGAGAAGTTCCCGTGAAAACAGAAAAAGACCTCCCCCTTAACCCCCCTTACTTGGCAGATTCACATTCGTAGGAAAGGTCTGTTCTTTTGTCTCTTTCCCTCAAGCGAAGGAACCTATTAATAAGATAATAATATCTCTCTGCTTCCTAGATAGATAAATAAGAAAAGGCTTAGCATATCCTATATAGATAGAAATCATAAGCATGTGCTCAATCAGTATTCTCTCCTGCCAAAAGTCCAATCCATCTACGAACACCGTTCTGTCTTTCAAGACTTCCGATCCTCCTTCCCTTCTCGGTTAGCTCCTCTGGTATCCATACTTCCACCTGTCGGAAACGGGAGTCGGGAAGTTAGCTCTTGTATGATGAGTTGATCACCCTATACATACGGCTTTCTTTCTCTTTAAGCTTCAGGCATTAGATCAGATACAAACAGAAAGTCTTGTATGAGTCCC